TTCTAAAGAAATCTAAATCTAAACATTTTTAGGGATTGACATAAAATTGAAATATAAATATTAGATGAAAATCTAAATCCTAAAAACCTTAAAAAAAAAAAAATCCAATCATTGTTATCGTTAAAGGCACAATCTATGTGAACTTTTTTTTATTAAAATATCCAAAAACCACTAGAACAGTGTTATATATTTTGCTGACTTGTGTACTTGCATTATCCCAAATGTTTCGAAGAATGTTTAAATCCAGAGAAATAAGCAATTTTAACTAGTGGCACAGAGCGTGTCAATAGCGTCATTGTGTCGCCTGCCAATGATGTCATAACCCCTCGATTTCCGGTTTTGTTTTGTAGAAAACATGGAAACACCAAAGACGCTTTAATATGTTGTGCGTTTTATTAGACCGGTGACGACTGCACAGAGTAGCATTATAACAGAACTTTCAAATGTATCTAGTAACAGCACTGTTTTACCCCACATACGCACGACCGGAAGGAGCGGAAGCGGTCGACTGTGGCATAATAAAAGCTCCGCTGCTTTCGAGCCGTGTGTCACGCTCGTTCAGCGGCCTCGTTTCGCTTCGACGGCTTTCAGGCTCACTCTGCTTCATTCTACTACATTAATAAATCATTAGCTCATCCATGAACATGATTTCTGCCCGAGTCCTGTCAGATTGCATCGGCTGTGGGGATGAAGACGACAACTCCCATGATTCCACACTCAGTCACGGCGTCATCAAACTATGCCTTTGTCTATTTGTTTATTTTGAATACGCGCCCTTTAGCGGTGAAAATTAACATTGTGCCTTTAACTAAAAGTATTTTTTTAAAAAAGTGTTTTTTTTGGTAATTGAAATAAAGCTAAAATAAAATACAAATATTAGATGAATAACTTAAACTTAAAAAAAACCTAACCTTAAAATTAGAAATGATGCCTTGAAAACTAACTGTAATAAATACTAATATTTATACTACTAATAATTACTAAAACTAAAGTTAAATAGATTAAAAGACTAAAACTAATAAAATGACAAAAGCACATAAAATGACTAAAACTTAACCTAATTAAAATGCAAGCTGAAAAATATATAGCTCAAAAAATATGAAATACTATAATAGTATATAAATAATAGTAAAATATAGGGCTGTGCAATTAATTGCATGGGATTGTCATGCGCATCTCGTCAGTAAAGCCGGTTCTGTGATTAGTAGTAAATCTCCATCACCTGCTTTCAGATGGAGTGGCATTTAATACACAGAGCCGTAGTTCACTGACAAGCTAGGCAATATCGCGTTCATAATCGAATGCGATTCAACGGCTCTCTGTAGTGAATGCAGCTCAATCTGAAAGCAAGTGATGGAGATTTACTACTAATCACGGGACCGGCTTTACTGATGAGATGCGCATGACAATCGCATGCGATTAATTGCACAGCGCTAGTAAAATAACACTGAACCCAGTATATTCAAATTTATTCAGTCATTTAAATTTTTTATTTAGTTTAATCAAATCTGTTGATAGCACATGAAGCAGATTTTAGATTAACTGACAAACATTTTTACAGTATAGATGGATGGATGGAAGAAAACAGAGTGTTCTCTGAAAGCTGTTGCCATGGCAGCGTTCCTCCTCCGCTTGGAGTGAAAGAGTGGCTGTTTGTTCTACTAATGAGATTGTGCTTTCTCTGCTATTGATTTTATCCTGTGTTGTCCTTCTGATACAGTCCCTAATCCTTCACACTTTCCCAAAATGGCTGTAGCGTTTACATTGAGCTCAACGTGACTGTGTGTCAGTGACCGCTGCTGTCCGTGGTGCTGAAAACATGAGAGCGCTCTAATGACTGCTACACATGCTCTTCCATGAGTTACTCTCATGTCACTTTAATTCACAGCTCTTTATATCAGGTGTCCACAGATCTCTCCAATGCATCAGTACTGCTGAACTCTCATTTTTATAATAAAAGGATCTAGATACCAGTATATTACAGGCCCTATCGCCCTGGCAAATGCATAGCAATGCACAATTAAACATTCCACCATCATAGAAATTTTTCACATTTTAAATTTTTTTTTTATTCAATAGACTATTCTTTGTTTAAAACCTCATTATAAAATGTTTTCATCAGCAATAGAACAGTAAATTCAACAAGTACACAACTCATCTGTTATAAGTCTCATGCTGTCTACCTTCCTAAAATAACATGGAGCTCTGCGATTGAAAGATGCATGTAATGTTTAATGTGATCTTGGGTCGTTTGCAAGAGCCTTTTGCTCTGCATCCGATTCCATTTCTGCGCACGGCCTTTCTGAGAAATTTCCAGAATTGAATCAGGATTGTATTCGACAGTAAAGCCCTGTTGATGTGCTCTCTTGTTGCCAGGCAATAATGATTTTGCACGCCCTATTTCACGCCATCTGGCTCGACTGATCTCATTGTTCTCTGTGACATCAGTTTAGCAGAAATTAACACGCAGCCAAGCTTAACCTATAAAAAAGCACCCAAATAGTACATTGTGTACTTTCACATATTCAATATGACCCATGTGCAATGATTCATATACAAATACTTGAAAAAAAAAAGTGCCTCTAAACACAATGAAATTGGAATTTAGCACCAAATGCAAACCTCTGTACTATTTACATAGAGGTAAAAAGGAAGAAAACCTGCAGGTTAAGATGTAGCTATAGAGAAATCAAAGTGAATTACGCACTCAGTCTCAGCAAACACACACGATGAGGGTCTGGTATGGGGTTTGCTTTACCTTTGCCTCTGGTGTGGGGATCTGGAACAGCGTCAGGGAGAGGAAGAGCAGAAGAGAGCTGGTCAGAAGGCCCGACATCCTGGAGGAGAGAATGAAGCTGCCTCTGCAGTGAAGAGAAACGCTGCCACCGAACAACAGCACAGAAACTGACAGATCCAGACAGAGAGAGAGAAGAGCAGGGGGGGAGGAGCTTCACTGTTACTCCGAACAGAGATGCATGACAGAGGGAGAAAGAGACTGTGCTTGTGATTTTTGCATGGTAAAGCTGGTGAAAAAAATTTCTACTTCAACCTGAAAAATCAGATCAGGGTTTAGTAATGCACATACACTCCCCTCCAAAAGTATTGGAACAGTGAGGCCAATTCCTTTATTTTTTCTGTATACTGAAAACATTTGGGTTTGATATCAAACGATGAATATGAGACAAGATCAACATTTCAGTTTTTATTTCCAGGTATTTACATCTGAATCTGATAAACAACTTAGAATATAGCACCTTTTGTTTGAACCCACCCATTGCTCATGTGACCAAAAGTATTGGAACAGATTTAAAATAGATTAAAGTGAATAAGACTTAATATTTAGTTGCAAATTCTTTGCTTGCAACAACTGCATTAAGCCTGTGACCCATTGACATCACCAAACGTTTGCATTCTTCTTTTGTGATGCTTTTCCAGGCTTTCACCGCAGCCTCTTTCAGTTATTGTTTGTTTTGGGATCATGAGCAGATCCTTTTTTTCTCCAAACTTTAGCCATCACTTTGGTAAAGGTTAATCTTTGTCTCATCAGTTCATAAAACGTTGTCTCAGAATTTTTGAGGCTTGTCTCTGTACTTTTTGGGAAATTCCAGCCTTCCTATTCTTCTTGCTAATGAGTGGTTTGCATCTTCTGGTGTAGCCTCTGTACTTTTGTTCATGAAGTCTTCTGCGAACAGTAGATTGTGATACCTTCACTCCTGCCCTCTGGAGGTTGTTGCTGATGTCACTAACAGTTGTTTTAGGGTATTTCTTTACAGCTCTCACAATGTTTCTGTCGCCAACTGCTGTTGTCAAATGTTTTCCTTGGTCTACCCGTTCAAGGTCTGTTACATAGTACACCAGTGGTTTCTATCTTCCTCAGGACATTCCAAATGGTTGGCTATGGCCAATGTTTGTGCAATGGCTCTGATTGATTTTCCATCTTCTCTCAGCTTCACAATTGCTCGTTTTTCACCCATTGACAGCTCTCTGGTTTTCATGTTGGTTACACGTCTAACTATAAATGCAGTCTGCACAGGCAAAACCCAAATCTGAAACTGAGCGCAGACATTCAGGGCTATTTATTGTTTGAATAATCAGTGTAATAGGACACACCAGGGCAATAAAACACACCTGTCAGTCACATGTTCCAATACCTTTGGTCACATGAGCAATGGGTGGGTTCAAACAAAAGGTGTTTATCAGATCCAGACGTAAAAAAAGATACCTGGAAATAAAAGCTGAAATGTTCATCTCTTGTCTCATATTAATCTTTTGATGTCAAACCCAAGTGTTTTCAGTCTACAGCAAAAATAAAGGAATCAGCCTCACTGTTCCAATACTTTTGGAGGAGAGTGTATATGGAAATGGGTACATAATGTCTGGCTGTACAAAATAATGATTATTCACAGTTTCAGTATTTGGCAGTATCTTTTTTTTATTGTGCCGTGCAATCAAAAATGCAAGTCACGCAGAAGTTGATCAGATTTTTGTAGCAGTACTAAAAGTAATAATAGTAATTAAACATAATTATTATTATTATTATTATAACAACAGACAAGTATAGATATATGCAAGAACCTAAAATACATATTTATATCAAATGCATAGTATGTGAAAATGTATTTATTCATTTCGCACACACTTCTAAACCGTATACAAATGAGAAAAAGCACAATGCAAAACAAAATAGCACATCTATTTGCAATCCAGAATTTCAAGATTAAACCAGCATGATAAAAAGCTAGTGACATTTTCTTTTGATCAATCTGAAATGATTAATTGATTGGTTGCCTGTCCTTTCCTCTTCAGAAACTCTGACGTCCTCTTATACATCAGTATAGTCATTATCTGACTTAATTTTTTTCTCATTTAATGCAGTGGTTTAAGAGTGCTAACTGTGTAGTGCTAACTCCTTAAATGTGACAAAACACATAGCTGGTGAAAAAAAAAAGAGTGACCTCACTTGCTCATATATTATGAGAATCTTTACTGCTGCAGGACAAGTTTTTTTTACAAGTGTTACTTCCTGATGGTGGCCATGATCACTGCTGCAGTCATGATGATGAGACCAACAGCAATGGAGGAGGAAAAGCAGATGTAGAATGAAGATACTCCTTCCTCATGATGATCTTCAGCAATATCTGAAAACAAACATAAATATAAAATTATCAAAGCATCGATACAACAGTGTAATCTGCGCACTTACTCTGTGTCTGGTAATATGGTGTGCTCATGTCAGTTGGTTGAACTTTTCAACAATAAATGAAAAATTTACATTAAATTAATGAATAAATAATGACTACTAGTACACCACTGTATTACTGCCATTAAACCATTACAGGGAAACATTGTTAAACATTCTACAGGGCAGGACCAAAACCAAAAAAACACAAAAAAACAACAACTATATTTTAAAGTGTACATTAAAGGCACAGTATGTAAGTTTTCGGGTCCGTGTAACCCTTTGCAGTTCTTTGTTCAATTCGCATCCGACAAATATGTGAATGGGCCACTTATGTTTTATTGTTGTAACCCAAGCACTGTCACTGGCAGCAAGTGTAGTTTTACTTTTCTTTTTGTTTTCATTTTGAAAAGCTTATCTTTGCTGTTTACCTCACGTTATGCTATGGAGGATATTTTTATGGATTTTGTTTTATTTTTTCTTTTTTATTTGATTCCTCAGTGTTTGCTAAACGTTCTGTAATTTATAAGTTGTCACTGGCAGCAAGTGTAGTTTTACTTTTCTTTTTGTTTTCATTTTGAAAAGCTTATCTTTGCTGTTTACCTCACGTTATGCTATGGAGGATATTTTTATGGATTTTGTTTTATTTTTTCTTTTTTATTTGATTCCTCAGTGTTTGCTAAACGTTCTGTAATTTATAAGTTATTATGTAATACAGCATGTGGTGTAGGCCTATGCCATGCCTCATCTTATTCGTTTTTGTTAATAAACATTTTGTAAGCTAGTTTGTCATTGTATCTTACTGTTTTATTGTTGTTTTGCTTTTTAATTAAAAATAACAATGAATCCATCTTTTGTTTTAGTCTTAAAAAGTTAAAGGCTTATAATATAGAACGGGTTGAATGTTAACCACTTTCGTTTTCATATAACTAAACTATGATAAAAGTTCATCAGCATGCACTGATTAATCCCATGTTGTAGCAAACAAAAAACATGTGCTCGTGCGACCAACTGAGAAAGTTAGTCGCAAAAGAGCGACCAAGTGGGAAGAATGAGTCTGGAGCCCTGAATTGCCCAGCTCCCTCTGTCAATGATCTAGCACCCCCTCAGCACCTGCGTTCAAAATTCTCAGGCGCCGCCCCTGCCCAACCTGTATCCCGAAGATCTCAACATCCCAGTCATCATCTTTCTACCGTACACAGGGCCACAAACAGTAACTGCAGGTCGAACGACTGCATCCACACCATCTCTCCCTAGCCGTGCGTAATCAAAACGATGAATGTTCCTCGATGTGCAGAATTTAGAAATGGAGGAAATACTGGAGCCTCGCCAGAGTCCATATTGCTGCTGTAGGACCTCTTGAACTTGTTTGCATGTGTATCCCAGCTCCTCTACTAACCTGTGGATTACACTTTCGTAATCATCAAGCACACTCCACTCACACATCTTCCAGAAAATCTGTGGTTGTTAACGTGCAGTCACACAGTTAATGGAGGTCTGATAATTAATTATTGCATGGTCAGATGTGCCAATGCATAGGCATAGGGCCTATACATACAGCGCTCTGGGTAAATACATCCACATCCCCACCCCCCGCTCCCCCTGGTACGTTCCAACCGGGAGCGCAAAACAGAGAAGTGGAAAATCAGAATAATGAGTCATTTTTTATGTTAGTTCAAAAATCAGATTCGGGCGCAACAACCCAAACTCGTAAAATTGAAAATTAAAATGAGAGACAATTATCCGTTTGTAAATTGCTCCAAAGAAATTGAAAATGAAAGTTTGAAGCCAACTTTTCATTTGGTTCATTTTGATGGTGCGAATTGAACAAAGAACTGCAAAGGGTTACACGGACCGTTTTCGCCGCTAGAGGTCGCATTTTCAGAACAATAACAAAGGCGAAGCTTAATGACGCTGTGAAGGAGAGTGGAACGATAGGAGATGTCGTTTTATACATATCTATGGTTTTCACCATCCAGAGACATGGAATTCATGAATCATGTTCACGGATGTAATTCATAAATTTGTTTTTATTACCTGTACAAATAAATTATACAGAGAAAGCGAGCAAAAGCATTTACATTGTCAAAGAACAGTACATGACTGACTTCAGTCTAGCGTGAGTTTAAGCACTCTCAAAAAACTTCCCTTATAATCAGTAAAGCTGTCTATACACTGTTTGATGAATGAATCTCTTACTTACATCATATGTACATCTGCACTTCATTGTTTATGATGAGAGAATCCTCGAGAGAGCAGAATTCAGTCAGTGAGCGCGCACACTGAACAAGAAACTCTGGTGTTTTCAGCGATGACTCATCTGAACGCCTCTGATTGGCAGCTGCATTCATTAGCTCAACAGACAGTTTTCATTTTTCAACACAACACTTCATTTCATTTGGGAACTTTTGGGATAACGTAAGTACACAACTGCATGAAATATATAACACCGTGCAAGTGTCTTTTGGATATTTTATTTCAAAAATCTTACATATTGTGCCTTTAACATTGAGGTGTCAAAATCCAGCAAAACAGATTATAATACTTTTACATTATGTTCACAGTATGTTTTACCTGATGGACTGTAGGTGTAGGTCTCACTCTGACGGTTCATGACGGAATCAATCTGGTGCACACAGGCGAAGGAAACCGGTGGACTCCCTTTCACTTCGAACACACACTTTTCACTTGAACAGCACAGTGGGTTCTTCAGGGTATAGTTGTATTTACTCTTCAGTGACAGCTGGAAAGAGCTCTCAATGAGCATCCTTCCAAATGAACACATCACTATCACACGCTCTCTGTCCTCCATCTGCCTGAACACTGTAATATTGGGCACTGGGACATCTGAAATAAAACAACATTCATAGTTCATTTTAATGCTTGTTTAATCTTATTTTAAATCCTTTTATATGTCATCTTGGCAGGGGGCGGTCGTGCCCTAATGGTTTGAGAGTCGGACTTGTAACCCAAAGGTTGTGGGTTCGAGTCTCTGTACCGGCAGGGATTGTAGTTGGGGGGAGTGAATGATCAGCGCTCTCTTCCACCTTCAATACCACGACTGCGGTGAGACCCTTGAGCAAGGCACCGAACCCCCAACTGCTCCCCGGGTGCCACAGCAAAAATGGCTGCCCACTGCTCCGGGTGTGTGTTCACTACTCACTGCTGTGTGTGTGCACTTGAATGGGTTAAATTCCGAGTATGGGACACCATACATCTCTTCACTTCGTCTTCACTTCTTGAGGCCCCCAGTTGAGAACCAGTGTAAAGTGTCTATGGTGCTCATTAAATAATAAATAGTGATGTTTCTGTAGTGAATAGCTGTGTTTTCTTACTTTTTTGGGGGCAGAAGCCCCACTTTCCATCCGTATCATAATCTTTCTCTGTCGAACACCACAGCTGACCATCTGTTCTGCCATCCACAGTACAGTCAGCGTACCACTTGCCACCAAACTTAAAAGGGAACTGGCATGGTTTCCCTAATGAATTACCACCTGTAGTATATATCTCTGCAGAACAGAAAAAAAGACATTAGGCTTAAACTTAAAGGGTATTTCATAATAGAATTAAGGGAAATTCATAGTAGACATTAGGGACGGATTTAACATTTTGGCAGCCATTATTATGAAATCTTAATAACTGTCCAAATTTCCTATCTCTTAGGTGGACTTTTGGTCATACCTTGATATCCATGAGAACACAAATATTCTTTGGTCCCATAAATCAGCCAGCGGCTCCAAACACTGTTTGATGAATGAATCTCTTACTTACATCATATGTACATCTGCACTTCATTGTTTATGATGAGAGAATCCTCGAGAGAGCAGAATTCAGTCAGTGAGCGCGCACACTGAACAAGAAACTCTGGTGTTTTCAGCGATGACTCATCTGAACGCCTCTGATTGGCAGCTGCATTCATTAGCTCAACAGACAGTTTTCATTTTTCAACACAACACTTCATTTCATTTGGGAACTTTTGGGATAACGTAAGTACACAACTGCATGAAATATATAACACCGTGCAAGTGTCTTTTGGATATTTTATTTCAAAAATCTTACATATTGTGCCTTTAACATTGAGGTGTCAAAATCCAGCAAAACAGATTATAATACTTTTACATTATGTTCACAGTATGTTTTACCTGATGGACTGTAGGTGTAGGTCTCACTCTGACGGTTCATGACGGAATCAATCTGGTGCACACAGGCGAAGGAAACCGGTGGACTCCCTTTCACTTCGAACACACACTTTTCACTTGAACAGCACAGTGGGTTCTTCAGGGTATAGTTGTATTTACTCTTCAGTGACAGCTGGAAAGAGCTCTCAATGAGCATCCTTCCAAATGAACACATCACTATCACACGCTCTCTGTCCTCCATCTGCCTGAACACTGTAATATTGGGCACTGGGACATCTGAAATAAAACAACATTCATAGTTCATTTTAATGCTTGTTTAATCTTATTTTAAATCCTTTTATATGTCATCTTGGCAGGGGGCGGTCGTGCCCTAATGGTTTGAGAGTCGGACTTGTAACCCAAAGGTTGTGGGTTCGAGTCTCTGTACCGGCAGGGATTGTAGTTGGGGGGAGTGAATGATCAGCGCTCTCTTCCACCTTCAATACCACGACTGCGGTGAGACCCTTGAGCAAGGCACCGAACCCCCAACTGCTCCCCGGGTGCCACAGCAAAAATGGCTGCCCACTGCTCCGGGTGTGTGTTCACTACTCACTGCTGTGTGTGTGCACTTGAATGGGTTAAATTCCGAGTATGGGACACCATACATCTCTTCACTTCGTCTTCACTTCTTGAGGCCCCCAGTTGAGAACCAGTGTAAAGTGTCTATGGTGCTCATTAAATAATAAATAGTGATGTTTCTGTAGTGAATAGCTGTGTTTTCTTACTTTTTTGGGGGCAGAAGCCCCACTTTCCATCCGTATCATAATCTTTCTCTGTCGAACACCACAGCTGACCATCTGTTCTGCCATCCACAGTACAGTCAGCGTACCACTTGCCACCAAACTTAAAAGGGAACTGGCATGGTTTCCCTAATGAATTACCACCTGTAGTATATATCTCTGCAGAACAGAAAAAAAGACATTAGGCTTAAACTTAAAGGGTATTTCATAATAGAATTAAGGGAAATTCATAGTAGACATTAGGGACGGATTTAACATTTTGGCAGCCATTATTATGAAATCTTAATAACTGTCCAAATTTCCTATCTCTTAGGTGGACTTTTGGTCATACCTTGATATCCATGAGAACACAAATATTCTTTGGTCCCATAAATCAGCCAGCGGCTCCAAACACCTGTTCCCGAAAACAACATCACATTTGGCTCCTCATGATTTCCATAGTTCAGGTGCAGTGGATGTCCCTTCAAACCAAACAAGCTTTCATCTTTACATTCCCAGGTTTGCTCTGGACTGAGATCATTGCAGGGCAGAAGGATAATTTTGACCCAGTCGTCTATCTTCTCTGACCCCAAGCATAGATAAAAAGAGAGGCTGATGATTTGTGAAGAGGAAATCCATCTGAATTGCTGAGCCTTAGATGATACATCACATAGTGCAGCCTGTACCACAGTAGCATTCACTGCATACACACATTTGTTGTGGTCCTTGTTATAGATGAGGAAGGAGCTGGTGTCTGAATCTATGGAAAATGATATTAGACACTGTAAAAGGCAACACATTCCATTATGTGTACAAATCAGGAAAATGTTTGGGTTATTAAATGTAAAGCTTCCCTAAGTAGACACTGCTTCGTAATGCATTTCACATTAGCACATGCAGCTTTATACAAAGTTTTAAAAAAGTCAAAGTTTCTGTTATTGGATCTGTTAGAGTAATGGTTTCAGTTCAGATTGTCTGTTATTGAATTTACAGTTTGAATCGGAATGCCATCACTCCTTGAAATTCACTCTTTGGACCATTTCCAGCACTAAATGTGCCCAATTATATGGTGTATACCAGCAGGGGTTAGAGCTGCCCCTAAATAATCCTGATCATAAAATAGGCGCTTCATGAAAACTATGAACTCAGCTATCGTTTTTTACCTTAAATAACTGACATTGCTATTATAGAGGTATTATAGTATTTTATTGATACTTTGAATTAGCTTTTATTACTATATTTTCAGTTTTCATTTAAATTTAATTTTTTAATAATTGTTTTTTGTTAATTTTTTTTTGTTTTATTCAGTTTTTTTGTTGTTGTTATTTTAGTACTTTAGTACCTTTTTTAGTTTCTTATTTACTTTTTAGTTTTTCCATCTAATTTATGTTTTATTTTTAAAATTAAAATAAAAAAAATGTTTTTTAATATTTTTTCAAAATAAACTATTATATATTAAAGGGGTCATATGATACTTTTTAAAAGATCATTATTTTGTGTATTTGGTGTAACAGAATATGTTGACATGCTTTAATGTTCAAAAAACACATTATTTTTCAAATACTGTACATTATTGTAGGTCCTCTATGCCCCGCCTCTCTCAAACGCTTCGTTTTCTACAAAATCCCTCCTTCCGACAAGCGCAGTCTGCTCTGATTGGCCAGCTGACCCAGTGCATTGTGATTGGCCGAACACCGCAAGCACTTGTCGGAAATGTAACGCCCCTTACCATAATCGCGAGCTTCATCTTTCAAAATTAATGTAAAGACAGAGCCCAAAAGGGAAACAGAGTCGAGTGACAGACACAGTGATGAATATGTGTTTGCAGTACACAAGCCACGGTTAAGACAGCTGACTCCATGGTGATGTGACCCTGTCTCTCTCTCTCTCTCTTTCTCCCACACACACACACACACGATGCGCAAAACTCCGCATTTGAACAGTCAATAACAAATACTTAAACTAATAACAAAACAGTAACTGATTCAGAAGCGCCAGATTGTCATAGCAAAGTCAGAATTACCTCCTCTGCATTGCTGTTCTGTTGTAAGTAATCTTAAAGATTCCTAAATGCATCTACATTCGGAAAGGCCAAATAAAGTGCTTTTGCTTTCGCCTAGAAACACACAGCATCTCCCTGACATGGCTGCTTCAACACTAACTGCGGTTACTGAAACCACGCCTTCTTTCTTTGTGTGCACATTTGGGCGGCATTATGCAAATATTTCCACATAGTGAGGTAGATATGTGGGGGCGTGTTAGAACGAGCCGTTTTAGGGGGCGTGGCAGAGTCTTAACTTTGATAAAGAATATCTCTTTTGTTTTGAGACTTTAGTCTTTGCAACTTCAGGGATCTTATCTATGTACAATCAGCTTGTAACACTCCAAAGAGAAAGGAAAACTTGAAATCGCATCATATGACCCCTTTAAATATATATTTCAAGGTTTGTCTCAATTTCAAATTGCACTAAAAATATATATATATATATAATAATAAAAAATAGATGATGCACATGTCATTGAAGGATACATTTTAGTATCAGGGCCAGATGTATTAGATGACACTGTACAAAAAGATGCCAAAAATTATATTGACTCATTTCCTTGTACGTTAAAATATTTTGCAAAGGAATAATGACAAAAATGTAATTTTATAAAAGCACAGCAAAAATTAAATTGACACCTATTCTTGCAGTTTAAAATATTAAAAAAATTAAGACTGACAGAACAGTGTATAGACTAAAGTCATTAGATGCTCTTGCCACTAAAGTAGTATTAGTAGTATGCACTATGGATCTGAAAAATCTGTACAAAGCAAAAATTATATTGACTCCTATCCTTACTAGGGGTGTAACGGTTCAAGTTACTCACGGTTCGGTTTGTATCACGGTTTCAGATTAACGGTTTCGGTATGGTTCGGTATGTGCTATGTTTAGGGAAAAAAGGACTATATTGTCAAATAAAAATAAAGAAAATAAGAACAAATAATCGAATTACAAGCAACCGAGCAAAGATACAAATAAAATAAACAGTGCTTTTCAGATTTTTTTTAGGTAGGTCTAACAGGTTTTGAAATGTGGCCGTGTGCTGCCTATTAAAATGGTATTTCCATCCTTTGGGGGGGTGCATAATGAGACCGATCCTCTAGTTTACTTGGAAAGATGTAAAGATTTCTTGGCTCTCAGACCAATGTCAAATAGTGAAATACTTGCAACAATGCGTAGTGTGCTACATGCTTCTGCCCGTGACTGGCGGGAGACTGTGAGATTTAATATTGACACCTGGGAAGATTTTCAGCAAGCTTTTTTAGCTGTTTTTTTTTGCCAGAAGACTATCAAGACGTGTTGGAGGATCAAGTACGAAATCGGTTACAAGGGGCAAATGAAAGTGTCCGTGACTTTACATTGTCATTTCAAGCTTTGTTTAAGCGTTGGAAAAAGGAAGCTACTGACGATGAGGTTTTAAAGGCCCTATTAAAAGCTACGAACCCTTGTTTTGCTAGTCAGCTTCGAGGTCGTGCCCAGACTGTTGGGGAACTGGTGAGGCTGGGGACTCAAATGGAGAGGGATTTTGATCTGCAGAGAAGGTATAATCAGCTGCAGTTGTCTAAGAGTACTACTTTAGACCAGAATTTACAAGTTAGAAAAATAAAAGAGGTAGATACAAAGGCTATCTTGCCTTCAGAGCAACGAAATCTAAGTTTGTTGTGTTGGAGGTGTCATGAGAGTCATTCCCCAGGTTCTTGTCCTAATTTCAAGGCTTCTTTAAGTGGAAAACACTCTGGAGGGCAGGCCCAGAGTGGTAAAGAATTCCAGGGTCGTAGTCATCAACGAAGTGTAGTATCTGCTTATGATACTCAATGACTTGTAAAGAAGGATCCGATTGGTAGCAGACAGGACAAAGGAGTTGGCCCTGTAGTTCTTAGACAGTTAGTTGTTCCCTTAACTGTGAGGAACTGTATTGGGAAAGCACTTGTAGATACAGGGACCACTTACACATTATTGCATTTTGATTTATGGAACAAGATGAAAGGACCTAAGGAGCAACTTGATGCATGGCATGAAGGACCACTTTATCTGGCTAATGGTGATGCTACTGTTCCTCTTGGACAGAAAATACTTGATTTTTATTTGCATGATTTGCATTTTCAGGTTCCTACAGTAGTCCTTCCAGCTCAGAACCTTGTTTATTCAATGGTGCTGGGGTTAGATTTCATAGGGTTGACTGGTTTGCAGCTTAATATTAAAGATCAGTTGTACAGTTTTTTAGGGGACCTGAAAAATCGTGTTTTCCCCTTTCAGCCACCAATTACCTCCGGGGATTCTTGGAGGTCGTGTACACCACCTGTGGATTGTAAGCCTACTGCTTCTCTTTATTCCTCTGTCCATCCTCTCCAGATTGAGTGGTCAGTGAGTGAGTGTATGGAGAATTATGTGCAGGAAGAAACTAGTGTAGAACTTGTGGAGTTAGTGCAAACAAAAGTCAATGAGAGTAATTTATCAGACAAAGAGTCTCATG